AGAGCTTGCATGTGCCAGGCATGGTGTTAAGTGTCAACTCAATCCCTGCACTGATGCCATGAGGTAAATGCTCTGATAATACCAATCTTATGGGTAAAGAAAGTGAACCTTACACAAAATCAATTACACGTCCTAGGTCACCTTGCTAACCACAGAGCCTGGGTTTGCACCCCGTTCTGCCTGACCACAGGGGCCATATTTCTGGTTATTCTCACTCATCGACATCTCCACATGCATGCTGCAGAGTTCCCTCAACTCAAGATGAAAATGTTTCCTTCTCACAGGGATCCTCTCCTTCTCCTATCCTCTCCTGGCTCAGGGCACCTCCTCACACCTGTCACTTACACTGAAACCTCAGGCTCATCCCGAATACCCATCACCCACAGCAACTAGTTGTTCCCTATGACCTTTTAATGTTACCCTCCCTGGCTCTCAAATCTTTCAAATCCTCATTTGGTTCTTTCCAAATTTTAGTAATTCAGTATTATTAATGTTTTTATTGATTTTTAGAGAGAGAGGGAGAGAGAGCAAAACATCAGTGAGATATATCCATCCATCTGCTGCCTCCTGCATGCCCCCTACTGGGGATCAAGCTTGCAACCCAGGCATGTACCCTGATCAGGAATGGAACCAGTGACATCATACTTGTTGCTCAACCACTGAACACACCAGCCAGGCATTATTCTGCATTATTTTAGTAATCCCTGTAGACAGTCTCTCTACCCTAGTCTTATCTTTTTCAAACCCAAACCCCATTTTGCAGGATCTAGAATTGATCATTTGGTAACACAACTTTGATACCACATGGAGGCCTAGCATCCCTCAGCGATGTGACCAGTCCCATGATAAAACACGGATTCCTTAGCTAGGTGTTCTTTAGGATGTCGCTCCAGCTTCCTCAAAGGCCTATCCTACCGCTTCCTGGCACCTTGTTCTTGCCCCATAGACACTGTCTGCTCTTCTTTAAACGTCTTACCTGGGTCCAGAGACATGTTACCCTGCGTTGATTCACCCAGTGCTACTGTGTTTGTGTGTGAGAAAGAGTGTGCCTGCATGTAACTGTCACCGGTTCAACAATTGGTCAAGTTGCTGTAAAAGTCCAGACCTCATTGCCCTGTGCTGTGCCCCAACCCAACTCACCTGGCATTGAGGAGATCTGCGGGGCCCCGGGGGCGGGGCGGTGTGTGGTCTCTCTCCTGGGTCCTCCTGCCTTTGAACTTTGTTCCCGTTGTTTCTTCAGGGGATCCTTTCCACACCTGGAAAAGCTCCCCTTTTCTCCACCCCAACCCCCACCCTCCCAATCTGCCTTGAATTGGCCACTGTTTTAGAAAAGTTGGCTGCTACCTCTATTGCTTTGGGTGGGAGGGGTCCTTGGGAGCTCCTGGCGCCGCTGCTCCAGCTCGGCCACCAGGGCTAACGGATCAGGGCTAACGGCTGGCGGGGGCCGTTGGCCCACGGAGGGCGGCCGCGTGCAGATGGGCAGATGGGGGGGGGGGGGGGGGGGATGGGTTGTTCTTGGGTCCAGGCCCCGAGGGGATGCTGCCCAGGGGGAACATGCGCCCTTGGGGCGGGTGGCGGGCTTTGCTGGTGGGCCTCCACTCTGAGAGTACCACCACCTCTGGCCTTGGCCTTGGGCCCCCACAACCACCGTCTTGTAGGGAACCAGCCTTTGGAGCAAGAGGAGCCGCGGGCCTCCGGGTGGTGGGCTCTGGGCTGTCCGCCTGCTGGTTCCTCCTGCTGGGGAAGCTGAGCTGGGCCCCCGCCGTCCAGTGCAGGTGGTGGGCGTGGGGCAGCCCCTCTCCCCGGGCGGGCGGAGAGCAGGAAGGAGATGGCTCCTTCTGGACCAGTGACCTCGCCCTGAGAAGGGCGGGCCGGTGGGGCTGGCGGGTGGGCGGTCCTGAGTCCGGCCAGCCCACCCGCACACGTTCCGAGGCCATTAGTGCGCTCGCGCGACCTCTGACCACAGCCCCAACTTCTCCTGCTCCTCCTCCCAGCAGAATCAATCACCCTTTGCTGCTCAATGATCCCATAAAGCTTTATTTTTATTTTTGTTGTCACCCAAGGGTGTTTTTTCCATTGCTTTTCATATCTTGGTTGGAGGGGAGCAAAAAGAGGGGGGGGGGGGGGTTGGGGAAGATCCCGCAACCTATATACGTGCCCTTGACTGGGAATCTTGCCTGGGAATCCAACACAGGACCCTGTGGTGTGGGTTAGCGCTCTAACCACTGGGCCACCGGCCAAAGCGTTCTTTTTATTTCTAATGTTAGCTCTCCTCAAACTATTAAAGGCGGTTGTATGCATGTCTTTTCGTGGCTAGACTGGGAAGACCCTGGAATTAGTTTCTGCTTTGTCCAGCTTTATGCCCCCTCCCATATTGCCTACCATCAGGGCTGGCCCACTGCATCCTTTCCGCAAGCATGGAGTGCATTCAACTGAGGTCAGAACTTCTCAAAGCCCTCTCATTCCGCCTTTTCTGAAACTAAACAAGTGAAGCACTTCTTTTCTTTACCTTTAGGTAGAATCAACCCATTGTTTCACAGGAGCTCTGAGTGCATGTCAGTTTCTAAAGTCTGTGTGGTAAGGTTATATAGCTGGTCATGATGGGTAGGTCCACCTGACTTCCAAGTGTATCATGCAGGGAAGTGTATAAGTACCCTCCCCTCCCTAGAATTGCTCAAATAATAACTGTTTTTTTTCAATAAACACATAAAAAATTTTGTAGGTGGCAATGATTTTTTTCATCAGGTCCGCGGCTCCGCCTACAGTCTCTAATCTCACGGTTTTGTAGCAAATTCACACGGTAAACTCCTTATTTCACTCTATCTTTGTTCTGGAGACTTCATTTTCCTCTTTTACATCTTCTTTTCAAGTAGGACACTGTAGTAGTCAGAGGACGCACCACCACAGGTGGTACACAGATCTTGCGTTAGGGAAGGAATGCTCACTCTCTCCTGGAGAAGTATGAAGGAAGGTCCACATTTGCCAAGGAAGTGAAATCTCAGAAGGAATAACCAATTCTTTTAGGAGCTGAATCTTTTTTGCCAAGACCAGTGGTCGGCAAACTCATTAGTCAAGAGAGCCAAATATCAACAGGACAATTGAAATTTCTTTTGAGAGTCAAAATTTTTAAACTTAAACTTCTTCTAGCGCCACTTCTTCAAAATAGACTCGCCCAGGCCGTGGTATTTTGTGGAAGAGCCACACTCAAGGGCCCAAGGAACTGAATGTGGCTCCCGAGCAGCAGTTTGTCGACCACTGGCCAGGACTATCTGTTGACAGCTCCGGGCCCCACCTCAGGCAGCTGACTGTAATGCCATGAAAGACTAAGTAACACTTGACTGTCTCCATTTGTTCTCCCTCTGTCAGGATTGAATGGGGAGCAGGTGTAGTCAGCAAAGCAGGAACACCCCTTAGAAAACGCCAATTAGCCTGATCCTAGACTAAGCGCACAGGCATCTCTGCGGAACGCCATTCCTTCCCAAGGCGGTACAAGGGGGATGAAGGGAATCTTAATAGGAACCAAGCAGTGTGCACGGCATCTCCATCCCAAGAAAGAATGCCAGAAACTTCGGGCTTCAAATTCAATCTTTGTCTGTAATGGTTTTCTTTCTTGTGATCGTTTCCCCTTAATTAATCAGGAGAGATTTAGGCTGTGCATTGTTGAAGCTCAGTCGCCGTTATCAGATAATGTTGAATTCTGAAAACACTTGGGACAGATTTCTAGATAGAGTAATAAAACCTCTCCCAAATTGTTATAATCCTAGGAGGCAAATGACCTCCATGACAAAAAAAAGAAAAAAAAAGAAAAAAAAAAAGACATTTAAAAAATATAGTGGCCTTACTATAAGAAGTAATTAACGTCCATACCTATTTGCACGATTTTTGACAGCCGTTTTCCATCAGTGCAGTTAACTGTGTGACAAGATTGGCGAAAAGGATATAGTATTCAAGTCTACAGAACTGCTGTATGAAACAAACATATTCACCTTACTTTAAGAACTTTCAGTGCTGAGCTCTGATCATTTTATGTGGTTAGTAGACATCACAGATGGTTCCTTTTCTATCCAACTGCCCTATCTATCCTGTCCTTTTTAAAAACCTGTATTTCAATCTTTGCTCTGAGAAATGAAAGAGTGGCTTTTTCTGCAAAGAAGGTTTTGTTATCAAAAACAAAAGGTCAGACAGGGGTTGCTTCTTATAGTATTCACTTATCTTTATATAACAAACAATTTGAAAAGACTGATTGTTATAAATAATCTATGAAATTCAATGTGTGTGTCAGATTAATGTAAAGATTTAAAAACTGATTGGATCAAAATGTTGACCATGGTCTTAATTTAATATGATTTGTTTATACAATAATTCAGACCTGGGACTGGAAAACATGACTACTACCATCCCCTTTATGTGGGCCTCAATGTTCTCATCTGGAAAATGAAGGTTGGATGAGGTGCCTTCTCGGGTCTGTATGGAATAGAGTTGAAGACAAAAGGAAAAGGCAACTTAGGATCTTTGCTCTCTAGGATGAAAAGAGGCAGACAGACCTGGGTTCAAATCTCAGATCTTATTTGCTTGAGGAAGTTAGACTTCATTGCACTCAGCTATGAAATGGGACGAAGCTATTTTGGGTGCTGATGAGGTTTAAATGAGAACACACCTATAATGTTCCTAGTACAACTTGTGCACATATTTTATGCTTCTATAAATGGTAGGACCATATTTTAAGGTCAAGGAAAACAAGGCTGAGCGCATGATCGATCTAGCAATTTCCACTCTGGCACCTGGAGAAGAAAGGGAGTGACAGATAGATCCCTGTCCTTTACCGGCAGAGATCCCTCTGCCGTGATGAAACCAGAGCCGTCAGGGTCTAAAAAAAGCACGCCATCAGGGGGAAGGCACCACATCTTGGCAAGAAATGCTTCACATACTTTCACCATCACCAAATTCTCTTCCCACCCCCACACCCTGCTCCTATTTAAAACCGAGGCACTCTGCTGGTCGCCACTCACTCTTCTTCGGGTGCCCAGGCTATCAGCACGGAAGAGAAGGGTAGCATGACTGCGGGAGAGAAAGGCAGGGAGGAGGGGCCAGCCAAGAGTGCCCTGCGGAAGGTACACAGGGCCACCCTGGTCATCAACTTGGCCCGAGGCTGGCAGCAGTGGGCAAATGAGAACAGCACCAAGCAGGCCCAGGAGCCCGCAGGCTGGCTGCCCGGAGGGACGCAGGACCCACCTCAAGACCCTAAACCGGTGACACATCCCACTCCCCACCAGAAAGCCCAGAGCGCCCCCCAGGCTCCCTCCCTGAAGCCAGCAGGGCCTGGGGAAGGACCGAGCTCAGGGCAGGCCTCGGAGGTCTCCCCGATCAGAAGGAAAGAGGTGACCAAAACCGTTGTCAGCAAAGCTTACGAGAGAGGAGGAGACGTGAGCCACCTCAGCCAGCGGTACGAGGATGGTGGCATAGCTGGCCCTGGGCAGCCCGAGGATGACATCGACAGGATCCTCCACAGCCACGGCTCCCCGACACGCAGGAGAAAGTGCACCAACCTGGTGTCCGAGCTGACCAAAGGCTGGAAGGAGATGGAGCAGGACGAGCCCAAGTGGAGGAGCGACAGCATAGACACGGAGGACAGCGGCTATGGAGGGGAGACGGAGGACAGGCCCGAGCAGGACGGGGAGCAGGTGGCCCCTGCCCGGATCAAAAGGCCCTTGCCCTCCCAGTAAGTGCATTCATCCTTGGGCTCCTCAGACTGCCATTGAGTCCCAGCCTGCTGTGGGAGCCCAGGGGACAGGGAGGTAGCAGGGAAGTCGGAGTGAGTCTCAGAGCCTGGCAGGCAGGGAGGGCCTGGGGGAAGGCATGCCCCCAGGACTAGAAGGGCAGTGCCCAGCTCAGACAAGGACCTCAGGGTAGAGCGCCTCCATTAGGCTGTCTTTCCTTTCCCTTTGAACTCAGCACTCAAGTGTTAGCCTCAACAAAAGTGGAACCACCAGAGAGGGGTGGTGTGTGCTTTGGGTAAAATTTTAAAATCAATTGCACAATGAGTAGCATATTGGCTTCTCTGTAGAGAAAAGTGCTTGCTGGTAGATTGATTTGCGAGACCTTTCCCTTGTCTCAAATCAATCAATTTTATCAGGGGTCACATCTCCCCCAATAGTGCCCATGGCGCACAGCTCCACATCTCATCAATAATCAGGTAGGGGGCTGCTATCTAATGAGAGCAAACTCTGAATTCAGACAGACCCAAGTTCAAATGCTAGCTCTACCCTGACTGTAGTTAATGACACTGTTTTACATGCTTGAAAGTGGCTAAGAGTAGATCTTAAATGTTCCACATACAAACACAACCCTGATTATTTCTCTAAGCCTATTTCCTCCTTTAAAGAAAAATCTTTGTTGTTGAAAGTATTAATATGTCCCCCTTTTTTTCCTTTGACCTCTTCTAGCCCGCACCCTTCGCTCCCCTTCCCAGCCTTCACCACACTATTGTCTGATAATGAAGAAACTAAAAAAAAAAAAAAGTTTGGATTAAATATTACTATATGCAATGAAATTATACCACATATGCATACAAGTCTTTGGTTATTTAGTATCTTCCCACCCACCCATCCCATCTTCCCTCTGAGATCATTTCCTCTTTTGTAAAATGATGGCAACAGTAATCTTTTGGGATCAATTCTACTGTAGTGAGAGAAGTGAAAGTAAGGCTGCCAAGTACTCAGCACAGTGCCTGCCATATATGCTCAATATATGAAAGCTGTTATTATTCATATAGATCCCATTATTTAAAAAAATATTTTTAAATTGATTTTAGAAAGAAAGGGAGAGGGAGAGATAGAAACATCAATGATGAGAGAGAACCATTGATAGGCTGCCTCCTGCCCGTCCCCTACTGGGGATCAAGCCCACAACCCAGGCACATGTCTTTGGCTGGAATTGAACCTAGGACCCTTCAGTCTGCAGGCCAATGCTCTATCCATTGAGCCAAACCAGCTATGGCTAGATTCCATTATTTAGCACTTATTTAAACTTTTAGGGGGAAAAGGCACCTGTAAACAAAGAGAAATGCTATTAAAGCTAGGTAATTCAAATACCACAATCCTAAAATATTTAGATGCTAAACACATAGACACACACACACACACACACACACACACACGTGTGTACACACACAGACTCATACTACCGCACTTATTCAGACAAGAAACACATGCTTTATTTTAAGACACTACTCCACCTCCACATACTAGCAAGTCAGGATATCTCACTCCACAACACAGGATATCCCAAAATGAGAAAAGCTGCTGATGTGATGAATGCCTTTAAACTAACTCCCTCTGGGAACAGTTAGAAGTGTAGGTGTGCTTTTCAAGTTTTATGAAACAACCAGAAACTAAAGAACAGAATTGGTTACCTAATTTGACAAAGAGCTGTCTTACAGTGTGTGTCTTTACAGGTATTTTGAAAGAATTAGAACTACTATATTGCAAACTTTCAAGAAAAAATGAAATGTCAAACAGATCACTTTAACAATCCCTTGTGCATTTAGTGTGCTCTTTGGGTATTTTACATGCTTTTCCCTTTTAACACTAATAATCCTATGAAGTATTACCCCGTTTTAGAAGGAGAGCACTGAAGCTTGGAGGGGAAGTTTACCTAGCAGGCTAGTGACAAAGCTGAGACATGCCTGTCTAAAATGCAATGCTTGCACATGGGGCCCACTGTCAGGCAGTGCCTTGAAGATGTGATCAGAGATTTGGATTTGTGCTCTACTTCTATTTAAATAGGAATTCATGATCAGAAATAACCATTCCACCAGAAATATGGGCTGTGTGTGATTGTGTGCTAGAAAGAGAATAGAGACCAACAGAATAAAGAGTGGGATTAGCACAGTGAAGAGCTTCCTGTTAGCACATTTGAATTGGCCAGAGGCAGGGAGTTGACAGCTGGGACCAATCTCCAATGCATGCACTCTCCTCTGGAATTTGTCTGAGCACTCTCCATATATTTATCAATTCAATCCTCACAACATTCTCATGGGTTTTGTTCATACTTAATAATTTACCCACATAATTATTGCACCAAAATGATAACATTGGTTCTCATATTCTCATCATGTAACCAATGAGCCACATTCACATAAGAAAGCATCACTCAAACTGATGTCATTTTTAAAGCTGACAGATAAGGAATACTTTTCAGAATTTATTTCAATGAATAAACTTAGACTTTCCAACAAAGAATGCTTATAATGCCTAAAAGAAATAGTTACCTTGCACATATCAGGACAGGGGAAATTTTTATTGGTCAAATATAAGGAAATTTGTTTATTGATAATGAAGAAACTAAAAAAAATAAGTTTGGATTAAATATTACTATATGCAATGTTGAATATTACTTTGCTTCTTATAAATTTATACTAGAATGTCTTCCTAAATCTCAGTCTCAACTATTATGCACATTTTTACTTAAAAATGAAAACAAAAACAAGATAAGCTGTATTTTATTCATATATTCACTGACCAAGAAGATACTTAAGACATAAGTCTTTCTAATCCTGATTTAAAACTGATATTTTAAGACTTTTTTAAAAACTGGAAAGACAAAAAGGATATAGAACGTTTGTGAGATAGAGAAAAATTTAATACTCATTAAGGTATATAGCTCCATTTAAAACTTCTTGCTTGTAGAACCAATTCATTTGTTTTCCTTCCCTCCTATTATTGGGAATTACAATTTGACAATATGACAAATACACATTAACATTTAGAAGGTGCTTTTTTAGAAGATAAATGTTTCTTCTTCATAGATTTATAATCTCACCAACCCCAATCTCTTTTCCAAATGACAGAATTTCATAACTCAGGGAATCTAAGTTCCTAATTGAAATTAGAAGAAAAAAAACTACTTCAAAGAATCAGAGACCAAGCTAAAATATGGTGAAATAAATGACCTCTGGATGCTGATCTGAAACTTTTCTTAATTTTTGCTTTCTCGAACTCAATCAGAGAAGGGGCCAAAATCTAAAATCCAGCCTAAATCGCGGGCCGAATGGTTTACTGAACAGTCATAAACTGTCATTGTGATGGAAACGCAGCAGAGTGCAGTGATGACAGCGCGGTGCGGGCCACATTGCAAGGCCTGGCGGGATGGATTTGGCCCGCGGGCCTTGTGTTTGACACATGTGCTCTAAATTATAAAATCAATATAATACCTAGATGAATTTTTTTTAAAGATGAAAAAAATCAATTATCATCTGGATATCAGCATAATTATTTCCAATTGTACATATGCCATTGATTCCTTCAGTCTGGTGCATGCACATTTTACACAGTTGAAATTATACCACATACTTAAATTTGTACTCTGATTACTTTCATGAATATCTTTTTCGTGCTTATTTGCTCTTTTTCTTCACATTACTGAATACCCAATAAGTAACTAAAACAGTGCCTGGCACACAGCAGATATCATAAATACTTTAATAAAGAATGGAAAAAATGTCTAAGTGCCGAGAAGCTCCTTAAAGGGAGGATGCGTTGTGTACCATACTGTAGGACAGAACTATAGCTGGGGCTCAGGAGACAAAAAGTATGAGTTAGTGAACAATGTTATTCTCTTCACTTTCTTCTGAGAATTTCCCAGCCTCAAATCAACTATGCATGACCTTTGGGCTCTGCAGGGATCCCTGGGACCATGTCATTGATTGCCATGGTCCCCAGGGCACAGGTGTTTGCTCTCCTTTGATAACGAGATCAGGCAGCCAACAGTCTGGGCAGCTGAACAGGGACAGTCTGTGGAGAAGGAGTAGATGGTGAGGACCAGCAGGGAAGAGAGAGAAACCCATTTCATTTTCAATGTGATGCAATTCCTACCACTTTTCCATTCATATATGATATTTTAAAGTTGTAATAATTGTGCATGGTTTTTTTTAATGCTGCTTTTCCACAGTTAACATTGTCATGTACTTTTGTCCGTGTGGCTACAAAGAATAGCAGTGTTATATGTAGCAGTGAATTCCTAGTTTGAATTCTATTTTAAGAGGGTAGGCCTTTGGGAAACATAAAGCCTGGGAATTGAGGAAAGTTCGCCCTCTAGTGCATATCGTTCCTCTTGCAAACAAAGCTAATTCACACACACTTATGCCAACCTATGCATCTATTAGCCTCCTGCATTTGAGTCAGCAGAGTTCAGGAGGCGAGTCTGTATAGTGAGGGATACCACATCTGAAACTGTTCCTGGGTTTTGAAAAGTAAATTGCACAGTTTGGGTAAGAGGGCTACTTAGTTCAGGCATGCCATGCTCCCGGAGCAAATTCAGTGCTGCTCTACCTCTCCCAGTCCGTTGAACGTCAGAGGGGACACTTTGCATATTAGGCCTCTATAGATATAAACTCATGATTCCAGTTCTAAAATGTTCTTAATATATAATTTAAGATTCATGTATCTGCATTACATTTGTATAAAGAAGCTTTTTTCTTCCAATAGTATTATTATTTTATGATGCTTAAAACCTTATTGTTATTTAGACAAAATAATCTAGAAGGACATACAACAAACTAAAAACAATTGTATTTTTTTTTCATTTCTAATTTCTTTGTATTATGTTTACATATTTTTATAATGAAAAAAAAAAAGGCTTACGTTATGATGCATATGTGCAGAAAGCACAGGAGAGAACACCTCTTGTGTGGTAAAATATCAGTCTGTTGATGCTTCTTGTTCTTTCTCCTTTAGGGCAAATAGATTTACAGAGAAACTCAACCGCAAGGCCCAACGGAAATGCAGTCAACTGCAGGACCTGAAAGGAAAATGGCAGCAGTGGGCTGATGAACACATACAATCCCAGAAGCTCAACCCTTTCAGTGAAGAATTTGATTATCAGCTGGCCATGTCCAACCGCCTCCACAAGGGAGACGAAGGCTACGGCCGGCCCAAGGAAGGAACCAAAACCGCCGAGAGGGCCAAGCGAGCGGAGGAACACATCCATCGGGAAATTATGGACATGTGCTTCATTATCCGCACAATGGCTCGCCACAGGCGTGATGGCAAGATCCAGGTCACTTTCGGAGATCTTTTTGACAGATATGTTCGTATTTCAGATAAAGTGGTGGGCATACTCATGCGTGCCAGAAAACATGGACTGGTGGACTTCGAAGGAGAGATGCTATGGCAAGGCCGAGACGACCATGTTGTGATTACTCTGCTAGAGTGAACCTTCAACAGCAAAAGCCAAACCTGGCCCACTAATGTCTTAATGCGAAATGCTAACTTAGTCGAATTAAAATGCAAACTGTTCTGTAATAAGTAGGAAATATTAAACAATTTTTACATGAATGACTTCTGGGTATTCTATTTCTGAGGATGTTTGGAGATTTTTGAGGAAGCACAAGCATTTGAAATTCTACTTATCCTTTTAGGCAATAATATTTGGCTATTAATTGCAGACATTATTATAGATCGTTAATGAAATAATTACTACATCTAAGAAGAGCGCTGAGTTTAGGTACTTATCAGCAGTACATATTATGCCATTTTTCAGGAGAAAAAAAAAAGAATTCCATTAAGTTTGGCAAAACAAATCTTAAACTTTTCTAAGCTTGACTTTGTATATTATTTTAATCATAGCATCACTTACAAAATAGACACACGCACAAAATTAAGATTTCAAATAAAGTAATGAAATTGCTCAAATTTCTCTGAGGGCTTCGTATGGTTTAATAGGTTTCTACAGTTAGCCATGCCTTTGTCATTTGTGCAAATCACATGAAAACATACATCACTGGTGGTCTTGGAACCAACCAATAGGGAAGGTGGTTTTGTTCACTTTCACTATAAAAATAAAAGAGATGAGAGATCTGATTTACCTGCCCTAGGAGGACTTCTTGGAGAAGTTTATTTTTTCTCAAAATTGTAATATGCTACTTACATTTATGTCAACATATAATAAAGTAGTACAGAAAATTCTACAATAAAGTAGAATGTTTATGTACCTTTTCTTCATACTCTGATAAACTTTATAAAATATCTGAAAATTATGAAACAGCAATATTAGACCTGCCACAGTGAAATAGTTTAATATGCCAAAGAAATATTTGACATTAATCAGCTACTTCTCATTTTTTTCTCAGATTTTATATCCTTTATATAATTATAAAAATAAGCTGAAAATATGTGATTGCAATTTTTACTAAATTCAATAAAAATTACTAAATTATATAGACTTTGGTGTTAAATACAGAAATTACTGCCAAATTATGACCTCAAAATAATAGATTCATAATTGTTAAATATTAGGTTTACTATAGGTATGGATTAAATTACTATAGGAGTTAATTTTCATGTATGATTCTTTTCTTTTTTTTTAAAATATATTTTATTGATTTTGTACAGAGAGGAAGGGAGAGAGAGAGAGAGTTAGAAACATCGATGAGAGAGAGTCATCGATCAGCTGCCTCTTGCACACCCCCTACTGGGGATATGCCCGCAACCAAGGTACATGCCCTTGACCGGAATCGAACCCGGGACCCTTCAGTCCCCAAGCCGACGCTCTATCCATTGAGCCAAACCGGTCCCGGCTCATGTATGATTCTTTTAAAATCAAAGTTCCAATAACTTCTTAAAGAAGGCTTGTACATTTCTCTTTATATATAATTTAATATAATTTGTAATTTAACAAATGACCAATATTTCTAAGTAGAATTTTATCTAAGATGTATACTTCTATCATAACCATAAACCAATGTCAAAATTCTAAGATATGGTACAAGAATAAGAGACATTTTCTTGTATTACCTGTTGCGTTTAGAATATTTTTACTACATGTTTGGAATACATCAAAATTATACAGTGCAGCTTGGGTTACTTCTAGCTATCAGTGGTACATTTAGACCAATTCTTTAAGTTTCCTCATATTCACTCTGGACAATACTAATTTGTGTAGGCACTGACACAGATTCTTCAAAGTTCAATCTGTTGAATTTGAGGAAGGAATTACTGGTAAAAAAAAAGTCTTCTCAGAGAGCTTACATTACTAATACTCTTCTGAATAAGGTGTGGCTGTGAAGTCAGAAAGCTAGCTTCCTGAGGAAAATGACTGCAATGAGACAGATTTTTATCTTAAAAATCCCATGATAGAAAAAACCAGTGGAAAATTTAGTGGGGGGTCGGGAGGAGGAGGGAGTAGAACTCAGAGGACAAACTAATGCAAGTCCTTATCCTATCTCCACGGTCAGCAAACTGCGGCTTGCAAGCCACATGCGGCTCTTTGGCCCCTTGAGTGTGGCTCTTCCACAAAATACCAAGACCTGCATGAGTTTATTTGAAGAAGTGGTATTAGAAGTTTAAAAAATTTGGTTCTCAAAAGAAATTTCAATCATACTGTTGATATTTGGCTCTGTTGACTAATGAGTTTGCCCACCATTGTCCTATCTAATAGAGGGAATATGCTAATCAACCCTCATGCCATCATAAACATGGTAGTATTCACAGCCAATAAGGGAATATGCTAATTAACTGCCCCATCCTCAGAAATGGTGGCACCCACAGCCAATAAGGAGGGAATATGCTAATTAACTGCCCAGCCCTCAAAGATGGCGGTGCCCAGTCCCATCAGCCCTGCCAGGGCAGCAGGCAGGTGCGCTGCAAGGCTGGACCTCCCCAAGGCGAGCCCAGCCACTCCACACACCTGCCTCCAGTCCTCTAGTACCCTCAGCCCTCCCAGTTGGCCAGGGCCTGCAGGAGGCGCAGGCAAGTTTTGGATGGTAGCTGCCCAGCCAACCAGGGCTGTTTGAGGCTGCTGGCAATGGCAGCAGCAGAGGTGATGGGGCGTCACCTCCCACCACTGAGGGCTCCCAAACTGAGGGGGCAGGCTGGGTTGAGGGACCCACTCCCTCCAGTGCATGAATTTTCATGCACCAGAACTCTAGGATATATATTTTGAAAATAGGGATGGGTGGAAATAAATTAAAAGAGAAAGAAGAAAGTTCTGTAGAGATTGGATTTTGGAAACTTTTCAATATACAAAAAGTAAAATTAAACAAATGAATAGAAAAAATGAAAATTGAATACAAAAATAACCATAATTCTATTTCAAATGATTAAAATAAGTGCACAGGAAGGAAAAGAAATATACATAACTTTTGAATATAGAGACAAAAAAAGCTGCCAAGAAATGCTAAAATCTAATTTTGTTTGTGAGGGTATGGGTGTACAATTCTGAAACTATAATGTGTCTTAAATGAAGAAAAGGAGTAAATATTACTGATGTCCTCACTGTGGGAGAAGATATACAGACATGGAGAGGAAAGATGAGGAAGAAGCTGTGATGCTGAACTGGTTAGAAGTATCAGTGTGCATTTGTCATATGTGCATTTATTTCCTACCTCTGTTTATGGAGAGGCCCTACAAGCAATGCCACCCCAGCAGCAACACACTAACATCCAGATTTCAAAATGCCATTCTCCTTAAAAGAGAAAACATGTCTACTTGGAGAAATGACTAATTCTAGGATTGGGTTATAGAAAGTATAGTTAAGTTTGGAATATCATATTGCACCAGAAGCAAGCAAGGTTCAAAGACATGAAGAAATGCACAGAAGCCAGCTACTGGGGTTCTCATCTGTTAATTCTAAGGCACAAAGAGATTATTCAAGACTTTGAATTAAGGAAAGGAGCCCACTAGTCACACAAATAACAGACATTGTTTTTTAAAAAAAACTAACCTCATTTTTAAAATCCTCAACCAAGGACATGCCTAAACTAGCAGTTGGACTTATCTTGAGGGGTCCCAGATTGGAGAGGGTGCAGGGTGGGCTAAGGAACATCCCCCTCCCCGCAATGAACGAATTTTGTGCACTGGGCCTCTAGTAATATTCTTTTTATTTTATTTTTTATTTTATTGATTTCTTACAGAGAGGAAGGTAGAAGGACAGAGAACCAGAAACATCGATGAGAGAGAAAACATCGACCAGCTGCCTCTTGCACACTCCCTACTGGGGATGTGCCCGCAAACAATGTACATGCCCTTGACGGGAATCGAACCTGGGACCTTTCAGTCAGCAGACCGACGCTCTACCACTGAGCCAAACTGGTTTCAGCAGATATTCTTAAATGATGAGAAAAGGAAAGCTCTTCCTTATAGTAAATGCCAAATAATAAATGTGTTGGGAATAAAAGAAAATGATTTTACAATAATTTTGGTAATTCAGATAAGAATCCTCAATAGGTATCAAAAACATTGTGAAAAGTTAGTGAAAAAGAGTATCTATGATATCAAAGTATCTTCCTGCACATTCCTTATTACAAAAGGAAACATGATAGCAGTGGAGAAACATGGTGTACACTTTCTTGATCAACTAATGGAAGATATCACCAATGAAGGGATAAACATAAGTCCTAATATGATGCAGAGGGCAGAACATCGCTTCTGTGGTTTTGCTGCCAAAAATGCGTAACCTAAATTTAAATATAGGAAAAATTCAGACAAACCCGCACTGAACTTTTGCAGGTTGAAAATAAAATAGAATTAAATGCAACGAAGAATACTGGATTGAATCATGGATCAGAAAAAATAACGATTTAAAGGATATTATTAGAACCACTGGTGAAATCTTAAAATGGACTCAATGATACTATTATGTTAAATTTCCTGAATTTGATCTTTGTATACTTACTAGTAAAGGATAAAAAAAAGAATATCCTTGTCTTTAGGAGATACCTGCAAATGTTTGATAAATGGCTTAATAGAGTTATTAGTCTCAGCAAAATAATAGGTGAGTGGGTGTGTGGAGAAATGGGGGAGATGCTGGGGAAAGGAGAAAAGAAAGAAAATAGTTCTATAAACATTCTAGTATGTATCTTTTGGTGAACAAATAATATACATTACTGTTAGGTACATACCAAGGAATTAAATTTGCTGGTCAAATTCTCACCTTTAGTATATAGTTCCAAAACAGTATTCCAAAGTACTTTACCTTCACATTTCCTTTTAAAATAGTTTTGGCTATTTTAATATTCTTAGGAATTGCCAGTCTTCTGCCTTTTCTTCTGAACTTCTTTGTAGTCATTTATACACTGTGTATGAGACCTTCATTAAATCTGCGTATTACAAAAATCTTTCATTCTGTTGGTTACTTTTCAACTTTGTATTTTTTGATAAAAAGCTCTTAAAATTGTAATGTAGCATATAATTTTATCCTTTGTGTTCCATTGAAAAAATGTGTATTCTAAGATCATGATGATATTTTTCTATATTTTAAATGAAATAGCATTATTGTTTTACCTAAGGATATGTAAGTTGTAATTAATTTTTGTATGTGCTGTGAGGTCAACTTTTTTATTCCAGACATCCAATCAATTCAGTGCCATTTATTGAAAAAAAATCTTCTCCATTAAGTAATCTTTTAAAAAATTCAGAAAACATTATGTAATATCCTTTGTTTTAAAGTCCATTTTATCAGATACATTGCTAAATACTAGTATTGCTCCCTCAGCTTTTTTCCCCCTTTCTACTTGCATAAAATATCTTTTTCCCATCCCTTTACTCTTAGTCTGCATCTTTCATTCTGAGGTAGCTCTATTGGAGTCACATATAGAGAGGTCTTGCTTTCTTATCCATATGTATGTTTTCTATTCCATTCAGCCACCCTAAG